GTGGCACACACCAGCGACCGCGTTTCATGCGCAGGCTCCGACCGCCGCACCCGGTTTGCCTTATCCTGCTCAATTTTATCCACAAATTTGATAGATCGAATCGCTGCTGTTCACAGCAGTAGAAACGAACTGGATCACCGATGATACTTTGTATATTCCCTGTGTCGACTGTATTTCTCAGTCGATAGAACGGGACAAATTTAATCCGTAGTTCGTATCTCACTTCATGATCCTTGCAACGAGAGGTTGTGATTTTAAGACATTTATTTCTTGTGTTGTATTGTAACAACAGACGATTTCATTTTCTCCGAATGTAGAGAGAAGTGCTTTCATGTTTATCGTAGTAAACCTAACACATTCCATATGATATTCCGAGCAGACTTCTTTTATATTGCTACGTTAATATCGTCATCGTTACTTTAGATTTCTTTTGCCCTTAAAACCCTTTCTTTCGACTTGAGTGTACACGTAATCGTTTCAGAGTTCTTTTCCATCCCGATACTTACATTGAGCAACAGTACTTAGCGTGTTTCCTTGATACGTGTTATTTTTTTACGTAACATGTGAGTGTTTACGACGGTCACGGTACTTTTTAGGAAATACGTATATCGCGGTTCGTGATCGTATCTATATATTTCTTTTTTTGTTATACAAACTCTTGTGCGGCGTACAAGAATAATTTGTCTCGTATCGTCGCACAAGACGTGCAGCAGAGTGCCTTAAACGTGAACGCGACTAAGGACTTTTTTTTTTTAGATTTCGTGATTTATATGCGTATGTAAATATATACATATAAATTTATATATATATATATAGATATCTAAATATAGACGTAATCATATATACATAAGAGTGATTTATATATTTTGCTAAAAATATTTTTATTAGTGAGTAAGTAAATGGACATTCCATCCACTGTTATCAATTTTATTATTATTTTTTTTCGGAAACTCCTTCCTTACGCGGCATTTACTTTACGCACGTCCAAACGATAAGAAATTAGAAAACGAGCCTGCACTTACATTGCAGTTTCACGTCAAATATTGCAACTGCAATGCGCGCGAGCTTCCTGAGCCAACCAAGTCCAACATGGACAAGTCCCACGACGAAGATTGACAAATCCATTTCTAGCCCCTCATATTCCCCAAGAAGCGTTATTAACACGCGTATCCGTGCTCTGTGTCGCGCAAATTAATCCCGAAGAATGGTACTCGAAAGAGGATAACCGATCCGAGACAATTTTTACCTGAACGTTCTTCAGTAGTGCAAGTACCGTTCGTTTAATTGATAGTTGCGTTGACGTTACGGGGGTTTGGTGAACGATACCGAGCGCGAGGAAAATCACGTGTTATGAAATTCGTTGTTGGATCAACGCTAATTTGTAAGTAGAGTAGGAAATTGTATATTACTCTTAGATAATTAAAAGAGGTTTTCAACCTTATAAATGATTTTTATCAAATTGAAAAGGGTCGATGTAATCGAGCATCCAAACAGGATGAGTCAGTAGCAATGTAAAAAGTAATTGCAACTTTGAAGATAAATTTTCTCGTGCGAGTATCGTTGGTCAAGCCTTAGGTAGCTTGTGATGTTGTTTAACTTGGTGTCGGCGGTGTTCACATTCTCGACGCTCTTCCACGGCCTAATAATATTTGTGATAACGTGTAGTTGGTGGAAAACGAGAATTGCTGGCGAAGAGGCGTGCCGAGAGGCCGATATTGAGTGTATGTTTGAAACAACCTCGTTGTATACGTTTCGCCCGTCGAACGATGATCCCTTTAGTTTTTTCTACTGTCATGGCTATATAAAAAGAGAAGAGCTTGTTAACCCATACAAATGTCCACGCAATCGCGAGGTTTGCTTAAGCCTTCCGTTCTTTCCATTTTCTTTTTTTTGTGTTGGTTTTTTCTGTACGATCTCGGTGTTTTTTTTTTAACGCGTGTTGTCGTTGATCACGACTTTTTCTTGCCACGTTTTTTTTCCTTTTTTCTATATGTATACACACACATATATTTATAGATATACACATATATATATATATGAAATATACGTGTACGCGATAGCGAAAGGAATTGTTCGACCACGGTGAAACGGCACGAAACGCACAATTAATCGTATATTAAAGTCCACGGGCATAGAAATGACTGGTTTGCATGTCGTGGTTTTTGTGGAGGGACGTGCATACAAGTACCTGTAATATCTTTTCTTCGTTACCTTCGCGAGACGAGAAGATTACGTAAACGCGTTATTTTTTCCCCCTTAGTACGTAACTTAGACGATTCGATATACGTTATCCATCTTTCTTTTTGTTTAATCTTCCGATCATTGTTCTCCACTTTACTCCTGAAGTCCAAATCGTTTTACATTCCTTCAACTGTCAATCGATGTACACCTGTTCATGGATTATTCATTCTTCTACTTGAGTATAGATAAATATTCAACCTCGAAAATTCTAATTGTGTAACTTTAAACTGATTATAAGATGAATTTTAAATAAAATACAAAAAGATAAAAAAGCGTCGACATCGACGTGGACAGGTGTACGTCTTTTGTAACAATTTTCTCGTACTTTGACGCGTAATCCTACAATATTCTCGCACAAAGCCTCTCTCTGTTTTCGACAGGATACGGTAGCGTGTCACATAGAATCGCGTAGTAGTACCTTGGTATACACCTAGTCCTGTTTTGATCGTCACAATTGCAGTGGAAAATGTGCGCAATTCTCGACACGAAGCGACTCTACTAAAGAAAGTTATCAAATTATTCAAATGTAATCGGAGTCTTCCGCGTCGGGGCTGTGCACAATTTGCATTTCAATCTTATTGATGTAACTCGAGAATCGGGTATATTGCCTGCCGATATTATTTACGTCGGGATTACGCTTCCTGATTCGGCTTCACATAGCATTAATAGACATCCTAGAGACTAGATTTCGCAGGGACGATGCGGAACGGGAGAGGTATATTTTTGAGGGATACACTTTCGCTGCGGGGTAGGGTGCAGACACTTTTTTTTAGATATTCTCTAATTTTTAATTATGCAAATTTTTGTTAGATACATCTTTAGTTATTTGAATTTTCGGGTATCTAATTTTTTAATTTTGCAAATTCTTAAATTCCAAGTTTCCCAGAATCCAAATTCCCGAGATTCCAAATCCCCTAGATTCCAAATTCCCCAGATTCCAATTTCCGTAGATCCTAATTTCCCTAGATACCAAATCCCTCAAATATCAATTTCCCAAATTCCAAATTCCCCAGATTCCAAATTCTCCAAATTCCAAATTCCCCAAATTCCAAATCTCCCAAATTCCAAATTCCCC